GGAGATCGAGTTTCTTTAAGGCAGACGTGATCACTCACAACAAACCAGACAAGAATATTTGTAATCATGGAAATGAGGTGTGTGAGAAGGGCTGCAGGAGTGGCCAGAAGATAAAACCAGGAAAGAGCTCTTAAGAGAACGAGTTAACAATGAACCAATTGTAAATGACATACAAAGACTGCAAATCAAATGGTTTGCACATTTAGAGAATATGGCCTGTGACGCCATACCATGGGAGGCACACACGAAAAGAGTAGAGGAATACAGACCACGATATTTACCAACAATAAATGGAAAGGTATTGTACTAGAAGCAAACAGCTCTAAGTACTAAGAAAAATAAAGAAAAAGAGTTCGTTAAGCGGGGACTAGAAACATAAATATTCTAGCCTAGACATGAGATCTTTTGTATACATTCTAGATAACAATCCTTAACGTGCCAAGCACTTCACAAATAAAATGAAATATTTTCGGGCGATGATACGCACTAAAATATCTCTACACAGTCTAACTGCTAGAGACAAATTCAGAGCTAACTGCAGAGCGTACCACCATCATGAAATCAGCCAGGCAACCGACCATACCCTGCAATCGCCTGTACCCACGCTGTTTAGCCCAATGTGCTGAGCCACAACAACTGGGTGGGTCTCCAGCCATTGAGCGACTGCAGGTTCAGTCCTGAAGCCAAAATGACCGATTTTGAGTGAGATGGCCTTTTTACACACAGTAGCCAGGTTTCTTCGCATTTAACAATCAACTAAATCTAGGTATTCGTCGTACAAACCAAAATCAAGTTAAATTCGGTATAGCCCGCTTACTGTAACATCAGAGAAACTCTACAACATCGTAATGTGCCTATGTACGAGGCTGTTAGGAAGAGAAAGTTGTTCTCTCTCGAAACTCAAAACGGCAAAAGAAGAAGGGAAGAAAAAGAAGAAGAAAAGGAGGAGGAAAAGAAGAAGAGAACAAGAACAAGAAAGACCGTAATGAGAGCGACGTCGGCAAATGACCCGCCTCATGATGAGGATGATGATGCTATCTATCTGGTATAAAGACAAGAATGGTAGAAGGGGGCAAAATAAATATAAATATGAGTACCTTAACACTAGGATGAAGAAAACAGATTAAACGAAAAGCACCTTTACAAATCAGGACAGAAGTTGAAGTTAGTTGCGTGTCTTTTGCAGAACCAACCTCAGCATTTTTTTGGCTGTTGTGGTTTTTCTAGGCAAATGTACATCCAGTAGTTTGCCATTGCTTTCTGGATGGTCGGCTTCTCGATACCACTGTCGAAACCAACGCAAGGCGCAGAGCCCGCAGCTGGAATCAAACCTGACACCCCGGCATTACAAAGCGCGTTTGCAACGCCTAAGCCACAGACGCCGACTAACAGATTAAACACAAAGCACCTTCACAAATCAGGACAGAAGATGAAAGACTAAACATTAAATACCTTCCCATTTGAGGACAGAATGGGAGAGATTAAACACGACTGTAAGCACTTCAATACCCCAGGTTGAAGCACCAACAAAGGCTGGGTTACACCTGCACCGTAGGCTGATAAACGACACACTAATCCTGATGGGTTATCAGTCGTTACACACAGGAGGTGGAAAAGGAGAGCGTGAATTACCCTTTTAGAACAAGAGGATGGCCACGAAACAATGGATCGACAATATTAAAGACACATTACGTCTTCAGACCGGACAATAGCCGGTCTCAGCCAGCTTGAACTGGCTCGCTCGCTCAACGGCCGAAGATGTTTATGATGATGAGGATGATGATGAAACACACACCTAAAAAGAACTTCTAAACATGGTTAGGAGGCAGGGTGCAGTCCTCTTACAACTTGTCTGGGGACGGGGGTGGGGGTCAAATGGTCTAAGGGCCCCCCTCCCAACCCCCAGGCTCTATTGGCCCTGGGTCGATTCTCTTGATAGTAAAATACCCGAGGTTTAGACCCGATTAGAACACCCCAGTGCCAGGGAATGGGCGCTTTCATTTCACGGGTTGTTAACACGTGGCTCAAGTGGGTATCAGGTGACCTTGACACTGGGGCACGACAATTGATATTTCTGTACTTAGTTAGCCCGTAAGCGAGTCCAGGATTCCCAGATTGTAAATCAGTATGTACCGCATAGCAAACAAACAATGAGAATCTTCGAAAAAGAAACTGAAATTACTTTCTAGTATTAGTACTAGCGGCAGCATTAGTAGTAGCAGCAGCAGTAGTAGTAGCAGCAGTAGCATTATCAGTAGCAGCGGTATTAGCAGTAGCAGCAGCTGTAGTAGTAGCAGCAGTAGCAGCTGCAACAACAGCAGCAGTAGCAACAGTAACAGTAGTAGGAGTAGCAGTAGCAGTAGTGATAGCAGCAGGAGGAGGAGTCGCAGTAGCAGCATCAGCAGCAGTAGTAGCAGTAGCAGTAACAGTAGTAGCAGCTAGTAAAGATAAAGTTGAAATAATATGAAATTTATAAACAAAAACTTTAGTTCATTCTAATGCTGGAGTCCGCTTGTTCCAACGCCCCTGATACAAGTTATATCTAACCAATCTACACGTCTCATGTCAATTACAAGCTAATTAAGTCTTATCTGCGGCTTCCTAGTTAGGAGTTCTTTTAGTGGTGCCAAACTCTAAATTGATTTGTTAGCTCCGACTCACAGTCCACATTGAATTGAATGTTTTCCACTATATATGTCAATTAGTGGGGATACAAGGGGAGGAGAAAGTGGTGGGTTGGGGGGGGGGGGTCATTGGTGGTCAAGCCGTTTAGCTAATTGACCTCAAGGTCATGGGTTCGTTTCACGGCTGTGTCGTTCCGTTCACGAGTGCAATTTTTATGGAGATTCCCCCCAGGCTCTCTAGCGTAGTTGGCTAAACCGGATTGCGCGGAGACCGGGTGACGAACTCTTTGTGGTCCGGGTTCAATCCCGGGGGTAGGCAGGAAAGCCACATTTCTCCCAGATTTACGGTAATTACAATGAAATCAAGGCCGAAAGGTTGCGATATCCATAATACCGAGCCTCATGGTTAACAACTCATGGCTTCTGGACACTAAAACAAACAAGCAAGACGGGATGGCCGTGGAGCTGCGAAGTTCCCCGGGACTATCGGCCGTCATGTGGGTTAAACTCCAGTGCAATAAAGTCGATGCAAGTAAGTAATTTCGTGTTTTGGATTCGAACCACCCACTCTCAAGCAATAACCAACCACCCAAGCCCAATCATCGTCTAGTAACCATTCTGCAGAGCTCTCCAGAATTGCAGTCTGTAGGATTAATATCTCAAGGTTGAAAATCAAACCGGTAAAAATCCCTGGAAACTCCGTTCAACGTGCAGTTGAAAACTCCAGTGCAATAAAGTCGATTACTAAGAAACCTGTAGTTCAGTCTGGATGTGTAATGTTACTGAAGTAATTATAAACGACGCGCTTTTCAGTCAAGCAGTCATTTTCTATCGGGTAAGGAGGGTACAGGTTGGGATCAAAGACCAGTGTTGCCACCTTTTGGAGTTAGTCCAAATTTAGACCAACTGTTTTTTACCAAGCCGTAAACAATCATCCCTTTCAGTGTCAATTTAATAATTATAAAATATTTACTCATTTTTTGTTTTGGTATGGCACGTATATTAGCAACCATGCTTCACCTAAATATTTACTAGGAATTTGGAATACCATGCTGAAACCTTTACTGGTTTTCAAATCATTTGTCAGACAAACAATCAGTACATTAGATAGTAACCATGGTTCCATACCAGCAAAATTATGTCAGACCATCAATTTAACCTCTGTCCAGAATTGCACTTTGTCTGACAAAGGAGTGCTAGACACATCTCTATGGGTTGAAATTTGTCATTTATTGTCTTTTTAAACTATTGTAAAAAATAAACTGTTAGAATCTAAACTTGTTGATAAAGTTAAATTACTTGATGATCTCACTTTGCTAGTGGGAAAAGACTGGTGTTGCAACCGCGCTCAGCCAGCTATTTGGCTCCTAAACACCTTGGATATCTCGAATCAAAAATCGATGATTTAAAAACAAAAAGCTGTTAACTACTTAAGAAAACGCTGTCACGATTTTCTTACTCATTATTCAAGCAACTGAAGCAGAGAACCTGTAGATGTTCAGTCTGTGAGCAACATACTTCAGCCAATGGACACACCTAAATATTGTGAAATTTTAGAAGCTATGTAATAGTTGAATCTAGCTTGAAACAAAACAGAAATAAACTAAAGCGTTCTTGAAGTGAGTCAATTTACAAATGCCTCATTCCATTCTGTAAGCTCTTTAAAAGTGCCCTGCCATGATACTATATGCTGACGTAGACCAGTGCTAGGAATTATATTAAATCTAACCTAAGAAACAGGATGAAATTTTGACCTCTTAAATGCTATCGCGCCATTAAAATTCAGCCTGATGAGACTAGGGAAATAAGCCTACTTTTCCACTTATACAAAAATTTCAACAGCTAAAGCATACCAGGGTCATTTTGGACTGGATGTTTACCTGTGGATACTTGTGAGGCAGACATCAAAGATGAGGGGATGGCGCGGTAAGTCACAACAAAAGCTGTGTAATTTTTTACTTTTTCAAAGTTTTTTCTAGATCTTTTCCGCGCAGACTCACCGTTTTGGAACTCAAAGAAAGAGCTGTTTGTTGTTCGCTACCCGGGGGCGCATTGCCCAGGCTAGCTGTAAAACGCGTTAAAATGAGACGAGTTTATGGAGCACATACGGGAAGGACAGCGCAAGCAAAGTGTCTGTGTGGTCATTATTTAGTTTGCATGGTTGTGGACTTGTGGCAAGCTGGACAGTTAACGAACTGTATTATCTCTCCTCGCAATCGTTGTGCTCGTTTTAAATAGACATTTATAGCGTTAAAACGACTAATTGTATTAGAGGCTTTTTTTGTTCAGTTGAGTTAAACTTAGGTGGCGTAGTGTAGTGAAGGTTGGTTGGTCAACAAGTGGTTAGGCTAGGTTGTGTTTTTAAGATTGTGGAACATGCCATCATTATCAAGGATATTCTCATTCACAAGTCCTGGGCTTCTGGGCAGGAAAAAAAGCGACGAGGACGAGAAATGGGCTGAAAAGGCTGTGGATTCTCTTGTGAAAAAGTTGAAGAAGAATAAAGGGACTTTAGAAGATTTAGAAGATTTAGAGAAAGCACTTGCATTTAAAAGTCCTCATACAAAGTGTGTTACAATCCCGTGTTCGTTGAATGGTCATCTGCAAGACTGGCGCAAGATAGCACTACCTCATGTTATCTTCTGCAGGGTTTGGCGATGGCCAGATCTTGAGTCGCATTATGAGTTAAAACCCTTAGAGATATGCCAGCATCCGTTCGGTGACAGGGAGAAGGACGTCTGCATCAACCCGTACCATTATCTGCGAGTGGAAAGTCAAGTTCTACCGCCTGTATTTGTTCGGCGATACAGCGATATCCATATTCAGAGTTTTAGCGACCTGCAACGTTTCCGACAGATCCCCCGACAGATCCCCGTGTCAAGTATGCCGCAGAATGTCACCTACCCCTTCCCACCTACACCGTGTCCAAATCCTGATAACACAGTGGAGCCAGGGCTTGCAGTTGGAGAACCCATATCCAGCGTTAACCTGGTACATGGAATGTCAGGTCTAAGAGTGCTTGCCGGTGCAGACGACACAACCGTGAACTACAAAGAGCGACTCTTCTGGTGTAGTATTAGATATTACGAATTCACCAGCCGAGTGGGAGAGGGTTCCAGGGATTGTGCAGTAGCATTGTTGTTGATGGCTCTACAGACCCCTCCAAAACTAATAGCTTGTGTTTGGGCACACTGACCAGCATCAACAGAAATTCGATAGAAAATACACAAATGCATATTGGAAAAGGAGTTCATCTGTGCTATATCAGAGGCGAGATTTATGCGGAATGCATGAGTGACAGCAGCATCTTCATCCAAAGCCGTATCTTCAACTACAGCAACAACTTGCACCCAACAACCGTCTGCAAGATCCTTCCAAACCACAGCGTGAAAATTTTTCAATAACAAGGATTTTGCCTCGCTGCTGAAACAGTCAACCAACCACGGATTTGAGGCTGTCTATGAACTCTGTGAAATGTGTTTGATCCGCATCAGCTTTGTCGAGGGTTGGGGTGCTGATTATCACCGACAGGATGTGACATCCACCCCATGTTGGATCGAACTGCAGCTCAACGGGCCATTGGAGTGGCTGGACAGGGTGCTCACCCACATGGCCGCAACCAACTATTAATGATTCTTGATAGGTTTCATAAAACATCGTAGTCCCTTTTATGTTTTGGTGTTTCATAAAACTTTGTGAAGTGAGATCAGTCATTGGCTACTGACTTGTTACAGAAGTTAGCTCTGGAAAATTGCCAAACATGCATTCACATTTGAATATATTCTGATTCACAAGCCCTGCTGTGAAAAGGCTCCTAGGCTGGAAACAATGTGACTAGAACAAGAATTGGGCTGAGAATGCTTTGGATTCTTTTGTGAAGATTAGAGAGGCTTTAGGAGATTTAGAGAAGGCACTGGCATTGAAATGTCCTCATACAAAGTGTATTACTGTCCCACTAATTGTATTGTAATAATGATCTTTTTTTTTTTTTGCTGGGGCCTCTAGCCTGCGATGATCCTCATTTTCCAATAATTTGGCCTCCAAGTAAACTTAACTTGAATGGCATGTGTCTTATACATTTATATTTTAATCACAGTTAAGAGAAGAGCTATATGTATTTCAATGTGCAAATGTTTGCATTATGAGAAATTGTATGCATAAAAATGGCCACAAGAAGCCAAAAAAATATCACTGCAAAAATACTTAAATTAAATAGCAATTGTACATAGTTATCAATCTTCATAAGGCAGACCCAACTGGAAAAATTTATTCATTTTACAATGCATAATTAAAAAAAAAGCAATAAAGACAGAAGTGTCTGTCAGAATGGTCAAGTTTTGCACTTTTTTGTTTGCAACTTTAATGACAGAGGTTAAAGCAAGTATCTGAATATTGGCGGGAACTTGAGATCTTTTCTTGTGATTATTTCTGAAGTCTTTGTGTACCAAGGAACACACCATATATTGATTGAGAACTGATTGAATTATCTTTTTGCATTGAAAGAGATATGCACTTCTTCCATCTTTTCCTCACTTCTTGATTGTAGAATTTTCCCATTTTGGTCTTCTTTATCTTGTTCACTTTTTGGTACCATTTTTTAAATGTCTGCATACTTGAACAAGTGTAATTTTTATATCGTTAGGCATTATCTAAAGTGCCAGAATTACTACAATGTGTAACCACAAAACTACTCTGTTCCTATGATAGTGGAAACTGTCCTTCACTGTCCCATTTGAAGACTAATGAAAAGCTTGTCAGTACCTGCAAAAGCTTGAAACTTACACGTGCAACGTAAAAAATACATAAGGCAGCATAAGTCAGATGTACCATGGTCCTACACTATAATTGTAGCTAACTTCTGGCACAAATTGTTGATCATGAAACCTGGCATTGCACCAGAAGTACACACCATTCTAAATGTGATCATCCACCACCATTTTAGTGCAGTCAACCTGCGATCATCCACCACCATTTTGGTGCAGTCAACAACACACTGTGGGCACATCATAAAAATATTCTACATAAAATTCACAATGCACACTATCACACTAAGCACTCGGGCGAGTAGCTGAGCGACACAATCTTTTTCCTGGTCTAAAAATAAGGAATTTGCTAGTAAAACAGTTGGAAACAGGGTAACTTTTCGGAGCATAAATGGTTGTTCCATGTGTCAGCCATTTTGACCTAAAGTCTCCCTATTTATGTAAATGGGTGCAGGTTTTAATTTCAATCACAAAATAGTTTCATTCAGAGCTTTTTTCTGGCGGTATGCAACAATAAATAAAGGCATTCTTATTTAAAATAGAATATTTTGTAAATGAAATACAGGTCTAACCCACTAAGCCCAATATGCCTAAAGACATGGAAAAGGGTCCTTTACTTTTATTGTCTTTTATGACTTTTTTCCAAGCCTGATGTTTTCTTTTGCTTTGCATTATATGACTGTTATCAAAGCCTGTTGTTTTTCCCTCTGCAATGTCTTTTATACTTTTATCTAAAGCTGTTGTTTTCCCTCTGCATTATCTTGTATGACTGTTATCCAAGCCTGTATGACTGTTATCCAAGCTTGTTTTCCCTCTGTCTTATATACGATGGTTTTCCCTCTGCATTGTCTTATATACTTTTATCCAAGCCTATTGTTTTCCTTCTTCATTGTCTTTTATACTGTTTTCCAAGCCTGTTGTTTTCCCTCTGCATTGTCTTATATACTTTTATCCAAGCCTATTGTTTTCCTTTTTCATTGTCTTATATGACTGTTTTCCAAGCCTGTTGTTTTCCTTCTGCATTGTCTTATATACTTTTATCCAAGCTTATTACTTCTCGCTGCATTGTCTTATATGACTGATATTCAAGTCTGAAGTTTCCTTGTGCTTTGTCATTTATGACTTGTTTTCAAGCCTGATTTTTTTTTTTCAATTTGTATTGCTTTTTACCCTTCACCAGTGTCCAGTATCTAAACTGTTTTGTCCTCATAACAATAAGCAAAATTATTACCATGGATTCAGACGCAAAGAAAACGCGTGTGTGTTTGTGTGTGTGTGTGTGTGTGGGGGGGGGGGGATGGGATGGGGGGTCTTCGCTTAGGTCCTCTTACAAATCTGACTGACTGACTTTATACCCCACCAGGATATCACAGAAGCGATAAACACCCGATGACACAAAGTGCCACCATGCTGACGAGGATCACCGTGGAGAGGTCTCAGAAACTGCGTTCAGCCATTTGGCCATACCTATGGCCTGGCTATATTGCGGCCCCTGGCAAAAGCCAGAGTGGGGCTTCAAATAACAAAAAATTACGTCCTAAAAAGGACGTAAGTAAATTACCCATGACTTGGATTGGCTTTTTACCCCACCAGGACATCACACAAGCGATAAACACCCGATGACACAAAGTGCTACCATGCGGATGAGGATCACCGTGGACAGGTCCCAGAAACCGCGTTCAGACATTTGGCCATAATGATGACCTGCCTATATTGCGGCCCCTGGCAAAAGCCAGAGTGGGGCTTCAAATAACAAAAAATAACGTCCTAAGAAGGACGTAAGAAAAGTTACCCATGACTTTTTAAAGTTCTTAATAATAATGCTCTAAATGGTTTAAAAAAAAAAAAAAAAATTTGAAATAATTCTTTACTATAAATCGCAAACACTTTCTGTATTTCAGATGTTTATTATAAACATATGTAGAACTAGCAGCCGTTGCGGTGTAGCAGCTAGACCTATGGACGACACTGAAACAAATGGGAAAACACCGCTTTAATGTTTGCCAAGACAGTTCCTTGCAAGATGGTTTGAGGCTTAGACGACGAATCAACATCACAGCACAAGGGCAGTAACTCATACATGCTTTATTCTACTTCTGACTTAACTAGCAACAAGACGCTGCAAGTGAATGTAGCATGGACCTTACAGTTGTGTCAACCTGGCTCGACTGTGGTACGATTATCAAACATAGCGGCAAGTGGTCCAGATATAGTTTTCACGTGGTTATTTGTTTCCATGACAGCGGTTCCCAAATATTTTAGCTGTTACCCTGACCTGGATCGCCACACTGTTCCGCAATGCCGTTGATATCGCGTGTTGTATATTTCAGCACGCCAGCGCTTTTAACACTACAAAACATGGACAAACTGGGTCTAATACACAACAACCCCCCCCCCCACCCCCCTCCCGATAGTGCTGTAACCTATCTCAGGCATTCTAGTTCTGGGAAGAAAAACGTAAATGCAAGACAATCCAGAAAGCAAACAACATGGCGGCACACCCGTAACCCGTCCGAAAGTAGACCATTCCAAACAAGTTATCAATGGAACGTGACATACTTTGTTTGGGGAGACTCACGTCGAACTAAATTACTTCAAATCTATTAGTACTTTTTATATTTATATTTAACTTTTCGCACATAATAATACCAATTAATATTTGGGCGGACAAGATTTTGGTCCCCTGTGAGAAAATTCACAGCCCTAGTGTTGTCTTTGTCTCTGAACCCTTGCTTTACAGCAACACTGAGCCAATTCTGATGCGAATTATGGATCAAACGACCCTTTTCCACACCTCCGCGCGTATTGAGCATGTTTTGCTAGACCTGTATTTTATAGATAAATCGGCACTCGTTGAGGGATGTGATCATCATCAAGCCGGCCGCCTTTACTTCCCAGAACGTTACCTGGTACCCATTTGAGGCTGGGCCAACCTGGGAGCTATGGTTATTTTGTTAAGGATAAATATTTCCGATAGTTCTGTATAGTTAAAACACGTGTGCACATGATCGTGTGTCCACTCATGTAGACAAACACACAGATTAAGGACCCAATCGATTCCCAGCTCTCCCTACAATATGTCTGACATACAACTTGAAAATTTGATGTTACGGCGGCAAACGGAGCCTTCATCCTTGACTGGCAGCTGGTCAAGGAGGGAGACTAGCAGAGACAGACGACTGCTTATCTGCTCTCAGTTAAACAACCCGGGGGGGGGGGGGGGCAAAGAAACAGGTAGGGAGAGAGAGCATAGACAGCACAGGGTTTCTACAATACTGGCTCAACTTGGTGCTTTGAAAATAAGCCTCACTACTGCATCATAGACACGATCATCGGGAAAGACGAAAAGGTGTCAACAGCTACTAATATACCACAAATGCATGACAGTGCATCTAGTGAGAAAGCAGTCAGACCGAACTTTGTGTGTCCCTTTTTAAAGTAGAATATCTGGGAGGAAGGCAAGGGGACAATCTAGAAAAATATGGATAGAGGGTAGAGCTGAAACCTGCAAAACGATGAACAAATCCATCACCCAAGCCACACTAGAATCGCAAGACAAGACAGGGTTACAAACTGGTATCAGTGAGACAACAAAGAAGGATAGTTTGAGATTAGATTTAGGTTTAGACGACGGATCAACCCATGGCACAAGGGTAGTAACCCATAAATGCTCCGTTCTACTTCTGACTCAAGCCTGATTTTGAAGAATATCAGCGCAATGCATGAACTCAGTAGCACCGGCGAGGATCCTGAAATACTTTGGGTGGTTTTTTTTAAACTCTAAATTGTTGCTCGTGGCAGCGCCGTTAGGCTACTATTTTTCGATTTCCAACTGCCAAGGGATTTTTTTTTTAACTTGCGTAACAATGCACACGGGTGTCCGATCCTACTACCCAGAGACCAGGGAAAATTACTAGAAGTCCATGTCAAAAAAATCCCAGCCTTCACCGGGGTTTGAACCCGGAACCTCCAGCACTCGAGGCGGACGCTATGCTTCGAGACCATCCAGTTTCCCGGACAGTTTGAGAATCACTGTTGTACATACATGGTATCTTAGGTGTCAAAACTAACAATGGCTGGACGGATCCAAAAATCCGTACTTTGGATCTTGTGGCGACGAAGTCGGTCTAATCACAAGAGAGATTAATTGTGCAATGAACGTTCGTTTTGGCAAGTTGAATGTCAGTGATTTACTGACAGCAGAACTCTGCTGTCGTCACGTCAGTTAGAGAATCCTTTTCACTGTTTGGTTTCTTTACAAGAATACTATAGTCTAGATACGGGACTGCAGCTTTTTTTTTTTTTTTACCTTTCTGTCGGTTACATTTGGTAAGTACTGCTTTAGTAATGTGTGTTAATTCTGTTCTTCTTCTTTCTTACTTTCTCTTTTACTGCTTTGGATATCGAGGGATATATAAGGTGCTGCTTCTTGGCCGCCACGTTTATAAACGCATAGTACTGTTGTAGAGTTTCTCGCATGTTAACTTTCCATCGTGTTCTTAGCCTGCCTCGGGTTTTACATCCTTCTTCTCGTTACTTCTAAAAAGTCTATGCCCTGTGGCGTTGGTAGTTACAGCCTTCTGTCTCGTGTACTTTCAAGCAACTTTGACACAGATGATCTTCCATGATAGATGATGCGGCACAAGCAGATTTTGACAAAAGAAGAAACTGTCCAGCCATGTTCTATGTCATCATCTGTTCTCTCGGTCTCCCTCTGCCTCCCTACCCTCCTCTCCGACTTTCCTACTGTCACGATGTACTCCAGTTGTCTCCTTCTCATCACAAGACAAAAGAATTTAGATTGTCTCTTTCTGAAGTGAGAATTGAGTTATTTTCGTGAGTCAGTTTCTTTTCATTACTTTAAAAAAAAAATAAATCTATCCATGGTATTCTCATCATTAGACTAAAAAAAAAAAATTTAAAAATAATAATAAACCGCATCCCCGCAGCTTCCAAATAAGTTTCCCCTGATTTACTACCTGTCCATGATTCACATCCGTATAAGTTTAGGATTTATATAGCTTTTAGGAATTATCTTTCTCGTCTCAGCTGAAACAGAAACATGTCGCATAACATATTCTTTATTTTGTAAAATGCTACCTTTGCACGAAATTTCCGTAGCGACGTTCCTCTATTGACTCCAGAGTGTTACCTCTGGTACTCATTACGTAGAGGCTGGGTGAAACCCGGGAATCGCCCGGTTTCGAACACCGGCGGTGGGCTGCAGCGAATCGCAGCTGGATTTGAAAGCCAGTCTCTTATCAACTGCGCTAACACGGCCCCTATTTTTTGTAATTTAGCACATTATTATCAATTATTATCATTATTAATTATTATTATTATCAATTATTATTGTTATTGTTGTAGTTGTTCATTACTTTTAAACAAGACTTAGATCCCCATTGAACTCACCCCTCTCTCGATAATGACGGCTCCTAGTTGTGTATATGTGCAAGTGTGTGTGTGTGTCAGAGCATCCGAATCAGCGTACACGAGTACATTAACATGTTTTACAGAGGCTAACAGAAGTTTACAGTCATGAAAACCCTGACATTTGATGAAGTCCTTGAGCAGATTGGGGACTTCGGGTCCTATCAGAAAATGTCCTACTACTTCCTGTGCACACCCGCCATCATGAAGGCCGCCATTGTGCTCAGTGCCGTGTTTGTTCTCCAGCTGCCTGAATTCAGGTACTGTTCGATGTTTTTTTGTTTTCTATTTTCATGTTTACTGAGGACAGCATAGGGTGATCATTATATTTTGAGCTGAAAACTAGAAATCACACTATTATTTTGAGCTGAAAAGGGACATCCCACTAATATTTTGAGTTGAAAACGGGACATCCCACTAATATTTTAAGCTGAAAATGGGACATCGCAATACTATTTTAGGCTGAAAACGGGACATCACAATAATATTTTAAGCTGAAAATATAACATCCTACTAATAATTTGAGCTGAAAACTGGAAATCCGACTAATATTTTGAGCTGAAAAAGGGACAAACAACTAATATTTTGAACTGAAAACGGGACATCCCATTTATGTTTTGAGCTGGAAAGAAGATATCTAACTAATAATTTGAGCTGAAAACAGAACATGACACTAATATTTTGAGCTGAAAACGGGACATCCCATTTATTTTGAGCTGAAAACGAGATATCTAAGTATTTTGAGCTGAAAACAGAACATCCCACTAATACTTTGAGCTGAAAATGGGACATCCTACTAATATTTAGAGCTAAAAACGGGACATCCCACTAATATTTTGAGCTGAAAACGGGACATACCACTAATATTTTGAGCTGAAAATGGGACATATCACTAATATTTTGAGCTGAAAATGGGACATATCACTAATATTTTGAGCTGAAAAGGTACATCCCACTAATATTTTGAGCTGAAATTGGACATCCCAGTAATATTGAGAGATGAAAACGGGATATCCCACTAATATTGAGAGATGAAAACGGGATATCCCACTAATATTGAGAACTGAAAACGGAACATCCCACTAATATTTTGAGCCGAAAACGGGACATCCAAAGGCAGTCAATTAATCACCTCCACTCCTTTTTCTACCTCACCAATGTAAAAGGGTTAATAACTCGTTTGAAAATAGCATTAAAACTCGATCCATTGTCGCCAATAAACGAAACAAAATGTTCTTCAACTGCGTAAAAAAAAAAAAAAAGATGCAATGAAAATTCCCATCGACATATTTCTGACTGTAATGGTACGTGTATCTGAACAAGAAAATCTAATGAGGTCTAATGTTTTTAACTATATATATATTCTATCCATGAGCCACATACCAGATTTTTTTTTTTTCATCGAACACCGGCTGTGAATTCCAGTGGAAGGTCAGGTTAATCGTCCGCTTGGACTTTTGGCTTTCACCTGGACCTGATTTTTGCGTGTACAACCGTTTTTAATTTCCCTGCCTCTTGGGCAGCTGTACGCCGACTTCGAAGGAAGACGTCAGGCCTATTTCTAGGGTGACTGTGGCCATTGTTTTGTGTGGGTCGAGACGTTGCCTGATTTGTGTGGTGTCCATTTTGTCTCCTTCGCCGCAGGTATTGCCCCCGGAGTACCCCTTTGGGGCAGCCCCCTGTGGAACAGTTGGCCCTCAAGGGAAGGCAGGGGCAGATCATGGGCATTCCCCGCCATCCAAGGAGGCTTCCATGCATGCAGAGCCGGCACATATCGCTCTGGTTCTGGGCTCACCCAAGGAATCGTCACGTCCTGCACATGCCTGCTTAACCTCACAACCGTATCAGGCCTCCCGCTCGGCAGGAGCTGCGCCCTCTGGAAGTCAGCGGGGAGCAGCCCGTGGGTTTTGGACTTTTGTGGCCACACAGATAGGTACATTAGCCCGACAGAATTTCACATCCTGAATCAGGCATATCGTTATCAGTTTTGTCCCAACACTCGGGCGAGTGGGGTCTTTGGGTGTGGATATTCGGTCTTTTTCGGTTCAGTGCAGATTTTGACGGTCAGATTTTGATCCGTATGATCTAGTTTTGTCGGACATTTAGGCTTAGCCATCCGATGGATGGTTGCTGTTGTGGTGTGCCCCAGCGCGGTGACGACGACACTGAGGGTTAACCAAGGATGTACGTGAATGGCCAGCCTATGGATGGTTGTTGTTGTGGTGCACCTCAGCGCGGTGATGACGACACCGAGGGCCAACCGGGGATGCACAAGGATGGCCAGCCCATGGATGGTTGCTGTTGTGGTGCCCCTCAGCGCGGTGACGACGACACTGAGAATTAAGGATGTGCAGTGAACAATGTTCTCTTTACTCCGCAGTCTTTTAACCAAGGGTTGTAATTTTAGCTATACGTTTGTCAACCCTACTCATGTTCCTAATGAGTTTTGATAACATTTTTCACCCAAGCGTTTGGGGGCGGGCTGATAAGAGCCACAAGGACACATCACCTCTGGGGGCCGCCAAACTCCGAGATCCCCTGACAGCTCTGTTAATGCTCATTTGAGACATTATCCGTGGCGCACGACGAGGACGTGCTGTAGGGGTCTTGCGTGAGGTTCCGTACAACCAGGATAGTGAAGGACTGGCGCCCGAGTGACGTACGGAGTATCTCCTTATACACATCATGTTGGACTTAACTTCCCCTCACGCCTGTGACATAAATCACCGCGCCACATACCAGATTTGTAGAAAGGTCTTTGAACAACAGAACAACATCATGAGACACGGGTAGTAACCCATAAGTACTCCATTCTTCTTCTAACTCATGTCCAAAGAAGCTCAGCACAGTACACCGTCGAGGGTCCAGAAATCTTTTGGGTATATTTTTAACTCCAAATTTTGCCTGGGCAGCTCCGTTAGGCTATTCTTTTACGATTTCCAACAGCCAAGGGATTTTTAACAATATACACGGGCGTCCGATTTCACTACCCAGAAACCGCGAGGAATTACTAGAAGCCCAAGTCTACGTGAAAAAATCCCAGCCGTTACCGGGGATTGAACCCGGAACCTCTAGCACTCGAGGCGGACACCATGCCTCGAGACCACGAAGCTCCCAGATTTGTACAAAACGGAACAATAAGACTTTCTTTGGGAGAGACGATAAGTTAATGCAAGAGATGGATTTTACATATGTGGGAATCATTTTTTTTCCCTTCAGAAGACGGAAGAATTTACAAAGAAATCCAGCTAAAATACAATAAAGCCACTCGTTGTAAGCCAAATGACACCAATTGTGAAATTCAAGCATATGTATATGAACACCTAAAGAACATTGTTCAACACGATATTCTTGTCAACGCTATGCTATCAGTGTCAAACAGACACTGTCTTCAGAAGATAGAAGGGAAATAGTCAAAACATAAATGAAGTGTTTAAGTACTATGCTAGGTGTAAGGAGGAAAGAAAGACTTAGGAAGATGATACCAGGAGGAGAGTCAGCACAGAACCAACTTCAAAGGCATACAACAAATCAAATGGTTTGGCCATGTAATAAGATTCACATAAGACATGGGCCCAGAGTGATACAGATACAACAGTAAAAGATCCAGAGGTCGACCACGCAGAATATAGACCGCAGAAATATGAGAGACACTGAAAAGTACTTTATACGAAGCACACAAAAGGGCCCTTCCAATAAATATCTCTCTGCCCTGACGCTGTGAGGCATTCCAGAGATCTGTTTCTGATCTGACACGGTGAAGAAGAACTACGGGACGGCAGGGTCACACCTTGAAAAAGGGACAATCTCGGTAAAAACGGGATCTATGGTTACCCCCTGACAGCAGACGTAACACATGACAAATCACAGAGCATAACACTCTCCTGGTGTGGGTTCCTGGGGCCCCACTGGAGACTGGAGGATAACAATAGATCCACTGCCTCATGACAAGCATGTCCTAAAAGGCGACTAAATAGGAGTCTGCTAACACTGGGTGTGTTAGGCCGAGAAGCACAGATATCACATCCTAGCCATATGCCACTGCACAATGCACCAATCACCATTTCGATGAGGAACTGAGAAGAAGAACATCCTGGAGATATACATCCTCTGTGTCTAAAGGGTCAACACTATTTCTGTTTTCCACTGATATACAGACAGACAGATTGGCAGATAAATAGATAGACAGACAGACATATTGGCAGATAGATAGATAGACAGACAGACAGATTGGCAGACAGACAGACAGACAGACAGACAGACAGACAGACAGACAGACAGACAGACAGACAGACAGACAGACAGACAGACAGACAGACAGACAGACAGACAGACAGACAGACAGACAGACAGACAGGCATATATTTATATAGATAGATAGATAGATAGATAGATAGATAGATAGATAGATAGATAGATAGATAGATAGATAGATAGATAGATAGATAGATAGATAGATAGATAGATAGATAGATAGATAGATAGATAGATAGATAGATAGATAGATAGATAGATAGATAGATAGATAGATAGATAGATAGATAGATAGATAGATAGATAGATAGATAGATAGATAGATAGATAGATAGATAGATAGATAGATAGATAGATAGATAGATAGATAGATAGATAGATAGATAGATAGATAGATAGATAGATAGATAGATAGATAGATAGATAGATAGATAGATAGATAGATAGATAGATAGATAGATAGATAGATAGATAGATAGATAGATAGATAGATAGATAGATAGATAGATAGATAGATAGATAGATAGATAGATAGATAGATAGATAGATAGATAGATAGATAGTAAATATTATTATGCCTGACTTGATCTCTCGGTATTTGAGAGTTACAGTAAGGCCTGTCCTGTTAGCTTATACACACTAAATGACAAGTGGTTTCTGAATTTAAAAAACCCAATAGACACAAGAAAGGTGGACAGACACTCAGTAGGACACTTAGATATTGTATTATATTATATGTTTATACAGGTGTGCTGTGCCTGGGCTGGCAAACGACACGTTCCAACAGCAGGACGAGCACCACAAAGATGTCATCGACATCAACATACCCCCCGCTTTACCAGACGAGGAGTTTGCTCAGGTCTACTCCCAATGCTATCACTACGCCAACGCCACTAGCAGTCTCCGACAGCAGGTCAACTCATCTTTGAGATGGGAGACAGGCAATAGTACACACCATCTGTCTAAATGCCAGTCCTGGGTCTATGACAGAAGCGAAGTCCATTCCTCAATTTTAACCGAGGTAGGAATTTTTAGTTTACCTCTAATTATAATGTTTAGTTTGCCTTTCAATCTTTAATCCTATCTCATCAGTCCAACTGTTCCAAGAGCCCCTTTCGTAGTTTAAAACACAATTCTTTGTTCGTTTTGCATACGTAGCAATGCAACTTCTCTACCTAAACAAAATGGCAGATTTCTTGACGTCTGCTGACCAATTGTTACAATTTAGTTAGATGAAATAGTGTCTGTTTAGATGGCATAGTGTAGTTCATGGATACAAAAATACACCCGCGTGTGTATACTCAGTGATTCAATGAGTATGATCCGGAGGGTTCAGGCAGGTTCAGTGCGAAGACAATGGCTTGAATCATTACAGAAGTCCACTGTGCGTGGAGTCACCTTTATTTTTGTTCCGGGATACGCAGGCGTCGATGGAAATGAAAGAGCTGACAGGTTGGCTGGATCCGCTATCACTACCGACGGTCAGCCTATGGATCATGCTGATATTATTAATGCCCTCAGAGAAATGGGAAGGATAGAGGACTTTGGTGGCAGTGAATCCACATCACTCGCCAGAATGGCAGACTTGGGAATTAAGATCGGCACAGCAAAAAACGAGACGCACACCAGACACGCCAGAAGACTTGTTAATCAACATAGAACTGGTACTATTAGCCATCGGACGTTGGGTTTCATACTGAGGGGAGGATCTGAGCACCTATGGACATGTCCGGAGTGCAATGAGGATAACCAAACTAACTAACTAACTAAGTTCATGGATGCTATATTTTAGTTTCGTTCATTATAAAATCAGTCGCATTTTTTAATTATCGGACTGTCTACTTTCTAGTTCAACTACGTATGCGACAACAAGGTCATGAGATCCCACGCAAACATGGGCTTCTTCACCGGGTCATTGGTTGGTTGTCTTCTGATTGGAGCCATTGCGGATATGTGGGTATTTTTTGTTGTCTCACTGTCTGTTGTGTGGTTGTCAGGTGAGGGAGTTTTGAGGCAGGTAAGTGTGGGAGTGAGAGTTACGGGTGATGTGATCTATGGAGAGAAAGACATAAAGAAAGAGACAGATGGACAGAAAGAGACAGATAATCAGACAGACAGACAGACAGACAGACAGACAGACAGACAGACAGACAGACAGACAGACAGACAGACAGACAGACAGACAGACAGACAGACAGACAGACAGACACGGACAGACGGACACGGACAGATAGATAGATAGATAGATAGATAGATATATAGATAGATAGATAGATAGATAGATAGATAGAATAGATAGATAGATAGATAGATAGATAGATAGATAGATAGATAGATAGATAGATAGATAGATAGATAGATAGATAGATAGACAGACAGACAGACAGACAGACAAACACGACAGACAGACAGACAGACAGACAGATAGATAGATAGACAGGACAGACAGACAGACAGACAGACAGACAGACAGACAGAGACAGACAGACAGACAGACAGACAGACAGACAGACAGACAGACAAGACAGACAGACAGATAGATAGATAGATAGATAGATAGATAGAGATAGATAGATAGATAGATAGATAGATAGATAGATAGATAGATAGATAGACTAGATAGATAGATAGATAGATAGATAGTATAGATAGATAGATAGATAGATAGATAGATAGATAGATAGATAGATAGATAGATAGATAGATAGATAGATAGATAGATAGTCTGAGTCCGAACAAGCTCAACACAATGGACATTTCTTGTAACACCTGCGGGGATCCTGAAATACTTTGGGTAGATTTGTAACTCTAAATTTTGCCCGGGCAGCGCCGTTAGGCTACTCTTTTTGATGTCCAACTGGGATTTTTTACGTGAGCAACAATACACACGGGCGTCTGATCTCACTACCCAGAGACCAGGGAGAATTAATTGGTCCAAGCCCACGTGCAAAAATCCCTGCCCTTACCGGGGATTGAACCTGGAGCCTCTAACACTCGAAGCAGACAACATGCCTCGAGACTACGCAGCACCACTTGGTGTAAGCTGGTGGAGCACTAATGCTACACCGGATATAAGGAACACAAGAAGAGTAAACGTTCTCATTTTGATATGAGGCTAGTGTTGTCGTCCAGAACCCTCTCACTGAAATGTCCACAGCATTGGCAGAAAGAAGGCGCTGCTACTGTGTGTGGGAATCCAGGTGGTGTGTGGCACAAGTCTCTACTTCATCCCATCCATGGTTGGTGTCGTAGTGGTCAGGTCCTTCCAGGGCATGGCTGCCGAGATGTTCGCCATCAGTGCTGCTACAGGTAAAAGCCAATACATGTCATATAGCCACAGATTATATACATGTCATCTAGCCAGAGATTCGATACATTTCATGTAATCAGAGATTAGATACATGTCTTTTAGCCAGAGATTCGATACATTTCATGTAGCCAGAGATTCGATACATGTCATCTAGCCAGAGATTCGATACATGTCATCTAGCCAGAGATTTGATACATGTCATCTAGCCAGAGATTTGATACATGTCATCTAGCCAGAGATTTGATACATGTCTTCTAGCCAGAGATTCGATACATGTCATCTAGCCAGAGATTTGATACATGTCATCTAGCCAGAGATTTGATACATGTCTTCTAGCCAGAGATTCGATACATGTCTTCTAGCCAGAGATTCGATACATGTCATCTAGCCAGAGATTCGATACATGTCATGTAGCCAGAGATTCGATACATGTCTTGTAGCCAGAGATTCGATACATGTCATGTAGCCAGAGATTCGATACATGTCATCTAGCCAGAGATTTGATACATGTCTTCTAGCCAGAGATTCGATACATGTCATGTAGCAGAGATTCGGTTCATTTCATGTGCCCAGAGATTCGATAAAATGTAATCTAACCAGAGATCCGATACATGTCATCTAGCCAGAGATTTGATACATGCCATGTAGCCAGAGATTCAAAACATGTCATGAAGCCAGAGATCCGATACATGTCATCTAGCCAGAGATTTGATACATGTCATGTAGCCAGAGATTCAAAACATGTCATGTAGCCAGAGATCCGATACATGTCATCTCGCCAGAGATTTGATACATGTCACGTAGCCAGAGATTTGATTCATTTCATGTGGCCAGAGGTTCGGTACATGTCATTTAGCCAGAAATTAGATGTATGTTATCTAGCCAGAGATTCGATTCATGTCATGTAGCCATAGATTCGATGCATGTCATCTAGCCAGAGTTTCGATACATGTTATGCAGCTAGAGATTCTATTCATGTCATGTAACCAGAGATAGTTGCTACAGTTTAGACTCGATACATGTCATGTAGCTAGGGTGGTCAGTGATAGCCACGAAATTCTGTGAACATGCTAATGCTTATGTAAACGTGCATGTCATCATTACAGTGCAGAATGGATACTAAAACTAGAATCGCCACTACTCCATCCATCCACCTATCAGTCCACTCATCCTATACATAAATTCATGCACGCATCCACCCAACCACCCATTAAAGCTCCCTTCCATTCATTGCTCCATCCATGCACCCATCAGTTCATCTATAAGAATAAACTCACAGGGAGCAAGTACAGCGGGGATCTACAGTCATCAGTAGAAATTATCCTCTTTCGACACACGTTTCGGCCCACGATTCCTAAACGTATTCGGAGGTGGGCCCACCTGAGTTCATGAAGCTCAGGGCTGCTTCCCCGCTGCACAGAATTACCGGATGGTGTTATTATTTCGGCCAGAGACAAGACGACTTGAGGGTTTCGAAGGAGGTACTGTGAGATAAGAAGCCGCCACGGCAGCTTAATTAGAACAGTCAGCGTGCCTGGACGACCGAGCGACAAGCTTATTTTGGTTTACCGGACACATGTTGGACTTTTATTAGCAGTTGGCAGAGGAACACTGGCAGACAAATCGGACACGATGGACTTTTCAAAGGGATGAGAAACTCTTTTCCACTAGATACCCGGACCAGCTCACCGAGGCCCGTCCCCTACGTTGTTGCGCTGCGTCCACAGCCAGCTAGAGGCCCTTTCGGCTGCCTCTCCCAGTTTTTTGAGTGTTCGTTTCCGTTCATTACCGCGCAATCCTAGTTCTTTTACCACATTGTAGAGCGAAGTGGAAACGAGGCCTCTCGCTCCCACTTCGACGGCAAATACCCGCACTGTGTAAGCCTCGTTTCTCCTCAAACCGGCTGCTAAATCACTGTACTTTTCGAGCTTGTACAAGTGATTCTCCTCCATACGCGACTCAAACGGGACCGTCAACTCAATCAGGATGAGTTGCCGTTTTTGCGCAGAATGGAGAACGATGTCGGTCGCAGGCCGGTTTTACGGATCAACTCGGGATACCGTTCATGTCCTGGCAGATCAACCGCCAGTAACCAGTCCCTCGCAGAGTCTAGCACAGATGGAGCGAATGCGTTTTTGTTGACCTTACCGATTGGAACCTGCCCCAGCCTTGAGGAAACGAAATTGGGGCGATACTAGAACTGGCTCTGGCATTAGCCCTCATTCTAGCCTGGTCGACAACGGCTGCTAACTCCTTTAGCACCTTGTTGTGGCGCCAGGTATATCGGCCTTAACCTAGAGCTTTCCTGCACGCGGACAGGACGTGCTCAAGAGTTTGCTTTGATTTGCACAACGGGCAAGTCGGATCGTTGGTCGCAGACCATTTAATCATGTTAACACCGGACGGTAATACATCGTACGCCGAACGAACGATAAATAAAGCTCAGTCGCAGCGGGGTCATCCGCCAGATCTCACCCAATGTGAGTATTCTCGGCAATGCGCTCTCCAGGCTGACCCAATGGCCCTGCTGCGACTGCTGGGCTGCTTTCTGGACCCGAACCTCGTTTTCGTTGTCCCTCACCGTTTGTATCACCATGTCTCGGCGTTCTTTGGCTGAGGCCTTTGACCACCAATTGACTTTTCCGTGCCCTAGGCCTCGACGGTCGGTTTGTGTGTAACCCATTATCTCTCTCAATTTTAGTGCGTTTAATTTAATCATTTGAGAACAAGTACTGAAATGTTACATCGAGCCTGTTCTGTTGTATCTTGAAATGTGATCAAACGAATCAGGAAGAGTTTGGAGGCAACCAACATGTGATTCTTGAGAAGAATGTTGCGAATACCTTGGACTGCCAGAATAACTAGCAGTGAGTGCCTGGACATGGCTAATAAAAGTAGAACATTATAAACAACAACGAGAAGGAGACAAAAACAGCTCTTTGGTCATATGATGAGAAAAGAAGCACTTGAAAATATCGTGAAAACTTGAAAGATCACTGGTAGAAGAGGCAGAGGCTGACCACGAGAAACGATGGTGGGTGGCTTAAGACCGTGGCATGGAGAAATATCCTCAGTGGAATTGATCCAGAACACATAAGACCTAGATCTGTAGAGATGCATGAACGCCTAAGCCAGCTATCCAGGCACTTGATGATGACGATTACTCAGTTCATTCAATCCCTCTGTTGCCCCATTCATCCATCCTTCCATGCATCCACCAATCCATCCCTTTATTGCCCCATCCACACATCCATCCATTCATCATTCCATGCATCCACCAATCCATCCACCTATCCCTTTCTGGCCGTATCCATCCATCCACCCATCCATCTATCCATTTACTGCCCCATCGATCTTTCTTCCATGCATCCACCAATCCATGCATGCATGCATTCATCCATCCCTTTATTGCCCCATCTACCCATCCATCTATTCATCCATATATGCATCCACCAATCCATCCAACCGCCCACCCATCCATCCCTTTATTTCCCTATCCATCCATCCACCCATCCATCCATCCCAATACTGCCCCTTCCATCCATTTATCATTCCATGCATCCGCCAATCTATCCATCCACCCATTCCTCTATTGCCCCATCCATTCATCCATCCATCCATCCACCCATCTATTTATCATTCCATGCATCCACCAATCTATACATCCACCCATTCATATATTGCCCCATCCATCCATATATCCATCAATCCATCCATCCATTCATTCATCCATCCATCCATTCATCCATCCATCCATCTTTTTAGAGACAGGCTGACGTGCCTAGTTTGTGACACTTTAAACATAAAGACCGTTTGTTCTTTCTTCTTGTGTGGAATCCAAGGCCCGGTTGTGGGAAAAAAGGGCGCCAGAAAAGACCTTTTGTCTGATCATGATCTAAAAGTCGACTAATTAGGAATATTTACTTCGAAGTTTAAGTGTATCTGCCTGAGAGGCGGGGACCAACAGTCTGCATACAAATAAGTCAGATCTGTAAATCGGATGCACACGCAAAACTTGAGCTTGGAACAAGACCAACGTCTAAAAGTGGACGGACAGTCAGAAATATACTGCCGGTGTTTACAGCCGGTGAGCGCGGAGAAGAATAAGCTGATTTATCCGTTCTGCTTGCCTGCCTGCCCCACCGACTGTCTGCATATCTGCCTGCCTGTCTGTCTGTCTGTCCGTCCGTCCGTCCCACCTGTCTATTCTGTCAGTATTTTTAACAGGCATTCTCTTATCGCATTTTATATACATAGACACAGACACACACACAGCTACAACAAAACCACCTACTAAGCCCGAACTGGAGAAAGAGACTTTCTGGCACTCATTTAACCACCTGGTGTCATAGTAACTCAAAAAACAAATGGCTGTCGCGATAATTTTAATTACAAATTAATTAACCCCCCCCCCCTTCCCCTTTCCGCGCGAGGAAAAGAAAAATTACTTACAAGTGTAGAATGAACACACCTATCCATAGCTCAGTTACGGAAAATAATTACGTCGTTTACTTTAGTTATGAAGAAAATGATAAATAAATACATGAATTGGGGACATGCTATTTTAACTAATTAGATGTACGTTAGTGCTCCCCGTATAGGTTCCTGGGCCCCATTGTGTGGGGAAGGGGGGCTGCGGGGGGGGGGGAACAAGAATATACTCACTGCCTCCCCAACAAGCGTGCCGTAAGAGTCGACTAGTTTGAGGTTTCCTTCGAAGTCGGGGTGCATCTGCCTGAGAGGCAAGGAACCAACACTCTGCATACAAATAAGTCAGATCTGTTAAACCAATATGCACGCAACACTCAAGTACTGGACATGTGTCAAGTCCAGAGGTGGATGAACATCCAGAACTTTCCGCTAGAGTTTACAGCCGGTGAACGCCGAGAAGAAGAAGGAGATGCATGTCCTTTTTTTAGGACATCGCACACTGACCTTCTAATTTGTGTACTGCTGTGTGTTTGTACTGCGCAACTTGTGTCTTAGGCAGGTTATCTGATATAAGCACCAATGTAGAGCTTTAGGAGAGAGCCAATTCCTTCGAAGCAGCAACCACCCCAAAGCAACTCGAGCTTTGTGTATTCTGGCTAGTTCATGAGTCGACTCATTGCCCTCCACCAATCAAATCCCCACAGCGTTGAGTATATCAGATCTGTTCATACATATGCCAGTCCGCGCATTCATTACTCCTTATATGGGCATGCCCAAGTGTGTAGATCTTAGTTAGAGAGGTCAACTGGGAGAGGTCAAGTTTGACCTGCCTATACTTTCTACCCATTCAGTGGGGATGCCATCTGCTGTAATTTTTTTGAAGGATGTTCATTGAATCTTTTAGGAAAACCAAATAGTTCTGGTGGGGGGAGGGGGTGGGGGAAGGGGCAGTTATTTCCATGATCATGATTGACATAGTTACTTGATAAACTCCGCTACCCTCTGTTTATGTTTTCCACATCCTTTAGTCCTTGGATGCCCATGCTGACCTTTACCAACGCTTCATGAACCCACCTCAGTAGACGATGATGTCTTTTAGGAGGAAATGTTGATCTGTCAGTGCTCTCGGCGTCTAGGGCCACAGAAGAGCGATTCTTTCTGTATCTCCCAGTGTAATGACAACATTAGAATGGTTATACATTTCTTCTGGGGTATCTGTATATTATTTACCGTATCGGATCTCTTCCGGGTCACATACCTGCTGGAATAAAAATTTGGCCTCGACCATCTTGGAGCTGACTCTTTAGAGACGCACTCTTGTTATGTCACCGACAGCGATGCTCATTAGGTCTTTAAGAATGTGAGATTTTTGAACAACGGATCAACATCATGGCACACGGGTATTAACCCAAAAGTGCTCCGTTCTTCTTCTTCTGAGTCCAAAAAAGCTCAGCACAGCGCCGTTAGGCTACTCTTTTCGACTTCCAACTGCCAAGTGATTTTTTTTAATGTGCGCAACGATGCACACGGTCGTCCAATCTCACTACCCAGAGACCAGGGGGAATTACTAGAAGTCAGAGTCCACGTGAAAAAATCCCAGCTCTTACGGGTCATTGAACCCGTAACCTCTATCACTCGAGGCGGACAACATGCCTCGAGACCACGCAGCTCCCGTAGGATGTTCATTGATGTTCATTTATACCCTTTTTTTACAACTTGACTTGTGCAACTTTATGTCTGATAGCGAATGGCGGTAAATGAAGTGCTCATCGCATGGTGTGGCATCTAACATTTATTTGGGGACGGAGCGCTTATGGGAGTGTCCCGAGTGCTGTGATGTCGATTCTTAATTCAACATTCAACATTCTGTAAGCAAGTATGATTCTTGAAGCCTCCTCTTGTACACTGCCCAGTCTTTATAGCTGGGTTCTGCTGACAGTGAAGAGTCCCAGATAGTAGTCTATGTCGCCTCTGAAGAGAAGGCAACATAGTCATTGTTCAGTATTGGCAACTGCTATTTCGGCATCCGCGGCTTAGGCGTTGCGAGCGAGCTTCGTAATGACGGGGTGCTGGGTTCGATCCCAGCTGCGGACGATTTGTCTTGCGGTTGTTTCGACAGTGGACCGTGAGCTGACCGCCCAGCAAGCAATGGCAAATAATGAACATAAAAAATACCTACAAAAACCACAACAGCAAATAAAAAAAAAAAAACATTTCTGTGGTTGGTTCTGCAACGTCCTGTAAAGGATGCGTAACTAACTTAATGTACCTTCAGCGCTTTCAGGCATTTCCAGGCTCTGAGTGCGACATTGTTTACCCGAGCTGCATGCGGTGGCAAGGGATTGAACAAGTTGATGAGAGTTTGTTGAGGGCATGTGTTCTCTATTGGCGGATTAAGTACATACAAAGAAGTTCACCATTAGTTCCAATCTGTACAACGAACATACCTTTGTCAAAATCTACGCAAAGAGGACGACTATCAAATGTTTGTTGCAGGGATGGAGCTGGTGGGTCCAGGAAAGCGCACGTTTGCAGGGATTGTCGTGCAGCTCTTCTGGAGTCTTGGCGGGTTTCTGGTCCTCTTGGTAGCATACCTGACCAAGGACTGGAGGATCACCGAGCTGGTGTATGGACTGGTTGCGGTTCCAATCTTCATCATGGCTTGGTGGGTTAACTATGCGTTTGTCTCTATGTTCTGTGTTACACTTCTGATCCATTATGGCGGATAGGCAGGAGTCCGTAAAGCATTTAAGTGTTTTTCCTTGAGGTCACGGTTTGCTAAAGCGATTTAAACAAACATACATCGTTTCGTTGTATAAGTTGGGTGCCTTGTTCAACATTACAAGCTCTGTATTTCGTATCGAACGGCTTTATTCTATGCTCCCTGGAAACTGTTGCGAGATTCTAAAAATGGCAGGCTGCCGGTTTTAATTCAGGCTGGCGATGTGCCTTATGCAATAATTTTGCGTGTTTACCAGCCACCTTGTTATTTACTACTAACATCAAATTGTTCGCTAGTTTTCAACGGGGACAGCGAGGGGCATTTCTTGTGATTTTCACTGGCAAAGGAAGGAGGTATTTATGGTGTGGCCAGTTTGCAGTAAAGTTGAAAACTTACCTACTGACCTAATTGTCTCTATGATAGTATATTTATGAATATCTCACTCAGTCAATCAGGTGCCGTCTCAACAATGACGGTTATCTGCAATGCCACTCCAACAGGCTCTATCTCTTTTCTTGGCTGTACACTCTCTCAGACTGCTGTTCGTCCATCTCTTTATGTTGTCCTTCCACTTGTGGCGGTGTCAACCTTTTGCTCTTTAGCCCTCGACTCTTCCTTGTTTTGTTTTAAAAAAAAAGCCTGTTATGAATTTTAATGTGGCCAAAGTATTTCAGTTTGTGTGTGTTGCGTGAAGAGGTATTATGTGGAGTGAACAACTGGGATATTGTAACTGCAATGATTTACAGAAAAACGTAGAAGATAACCAAATAATATTTTTTTAATACAATGTGTACGATGGGATCCAAGGCGTCGTAATGTCTGACTGTTTTCAAAACTGACCATGGCTTCAAGGTCGACGCAGCCGGAATCGGGCATCATGCAATCATCTTTTCTTCTGAAGTTCGTTCGTTCGTTCTTCTTTTTCTCTGTTCACTGGATTATTTATGTGCAGTTGGTTATTCCTTGCCGCTCGGGCAGATGCACTCCGGCTTCGAAGAAGGTCCGCAATTAATCGAGGCCCCGGAACCCACACAGGGACTACCAGGTAAGGACCAAGGAAGTAAAGACGGCCAACATGACGTTGACCTCATCTCGCATAGAGGAGATGTTTTATGAAACTATAGCACTTTATAACCGATAGGTCATTTGCGAAAAAGAATGACCTTTCATTTTATTTGTTACATCATCATGGTCTTTTATTTGTTGGCGGTACGCAATGGTGCGCACTACTAGCACATTTTACTCATTGTTTTTGTTTGTACTACTGTAAAAGACACTTTGTGACGAGGATTAGCACCATTTTTTAGGCACTATGTTTCTCCGTGAGGGTTCCGGGGCTCCACTGTGACGGAAAACAAGAACAGACCCACTCCCTCCCCAACAAGCATGTCGTAAGATTAGACTAATTAGTGGGTTTCCCTCGAAGTGCATCTGTTTGACAAAACACAATGAACCAAAAGTCTGCGTACACATAAACCAGATCTGTAAAACGAATGTGCACACAAAGCTGAAGTACTGGAACGAGACTAAAGTCCAGAGGTTGACGAAATTCCAGAACTTTCTCGCGGAGTTTACAGCCCATGAACGCGAAGAAGAAGAGGAGGAAGACACTGTGTTTTGAGTAAAGGTCCTGTTTCTACGCCTTTTATGCGTATTGGAAATATAGGGCTAGACCTATTTTTATAAAGATCAAGCTGCACTTACCACCTTTACTTTCTAGGACTGCACCTGGTACCCACTGAAGACTGGGTCGACATGGGAGTAAAATTCATTTTTGAAAAAAAAAAGTCCGTCTTCGCCAGGATGCGAACCTACGACCTTCCGATCCGCAGGCGGGCGTCTTGGGGCCAACGCCATGTCGACTCCCAAAAGTAAAGATGCCTTTTCATGTCTTTAGGTGCATCAGGCATAAGAGAAGAGCACCCATATTTTTACAGACCTATCGGCGCTGGGTGGGTAATGTGGTCAGCATTACGTCGGCCGTCTTTACTTCCCCAGGCGATACATCCTGGTACCCATTTTAGGCTAGGTCTACCTGCGACGCCCCATACCATGATAACAAATCAACGCAGCCAGCAGTGGGTTTCGATTACGGTACACGGGAATTACGAGTCGGACTTGCAACGCCTAAGCCATGGACACCGCTATATAGTGAGTACCGTTCCTTTTTTATTCATTGCCCCCCCAAAAAAGTGCCCAGTGCCTTATTATGTACTGCGACATTCTAAGCTATGTCATGACAGTGTACGAGTATTTTGTGTTTACATTGTCTCTCTTCTACAACCTACGGGCAGTGTAGCACCGGAGTCTCCTCGCTGGTTGCTCGACAAACAACGGTATGATGAGGCCGAGAAGATTCTGCGACGAATCGCCAAATCAAATAAAGTGAGAGCTTCTGACTTCATTGAAATTTTCTGTCTGGGGAGTTTTGCTTGTGAGTCCCACAGCCCAGTTTTAGCAGAAAAATAGATCCACTGCCTTCCACCCGACAAGCGTGTCGTAAAAGGCAACTATCAAGGGAGTTTCCTTCGAAGTCGGTGTGCAATTGCCTGAGAAGCGAGGAACCACAAGTCCGCATACAAGTAAACCAGATCTGTAAAATAGATATGCACGAAGAAGGTCATGTGAGCTGAACCAAAGATTTCTCCATATATAACTGGAGAAAACCTTGGCTGAACCTAAGTCTTGAGCCAACCAGATTAATCTGGACCTGAATAATGCGTGTGGTATCCTGCGCAGAATCATAGAACCAGCATAAGCTTGAAGAAGAAAATATCTCACTAGGAAGAGAAGAAGACCAGACCCCATCAAGACCTACAAGTCCATACCATATACGGAAGACAAAGAGAAACAAGAAAATCAGGTATAATTCAACACCACAAAAAACCGGAATACAAATAAGACAGCAAATAGAACCCTCTTCAGTGTAACAGGACGTCAAACCAGTTAAACAGGGGTCTGTGTGGTCTCGAGGCATGGCGTCTGCCTCGAGTGCTAGAGGTTCCGGGTTCAATCCCCGTAAGGACGCCTGTGTGCATTGTTGCGAACGTAAAAAAATCCATTGGCAGTTGGAATTCGAAAAGAGTATCCTAATGGCGCTGCCCAGGCAAAAATTTGGAGTGAAAAATCTACCCAAAGTATTTCAGGATCCTCGCCTGTGCTACAGAACCTGTGCACTGTGCTGAGCTTCTTCGGACTCAGACTTGACTCAAACTCTGGCTACTCTTTTCGATTTCCAACTGCCAAGGGATTTTGTTTACGTGAGCAAAAATACACACTGGCGTCCGATCTCACTACTCAGAGATCAGGAGGAATTACTAGAAGTCTAATTCCACGTGAAAAAGTCCAAGCACCTACAGGGATGGAACCCGGGACCTCCAGCACTTGAGGCGGACACCATGCCTCGAGACCACGCAGCCCCCTTCCAGATGTGAAAGCTGATCAAACTAAATAAGAAGTCTGTGTGTACGCATATGTATAGAGTTTTGATTGTTCTTTAAATAACAACGCTTTCTTGTATTAGATTTTCCAGAATATCCGCATAAATTGTGACTTATAACCCTGTAATGACATTTGTAAATCTACAAGCAATCAGAAGAACATAATGCACTGGCCGTCCCTGGGTAGAACCCATTTACTACATGACGACATAAAGAGTTTAAAAAAAAAACATACATAGAAATTAAAGTTTCCTTAACTTACATTAACTTGGTACCCATTTTAGGGTGGGTAAACCTGGAAATCAAAGTCATGGTTTGAAAAAAATCCAGCTTCATGCATATGTGAACCCACGACCTTGGGATCGACAGACCAGCCTTTAGCCGCTATAGTACGGCGGCTATCTACACGATAACATAGAAGTGACAAGCTGACAACTTCATAACACCAGTTAATGTTTGATACGACTGATGGTGTGAATAGTTCTACCGCCACAGTTTGCTGACAGGCTCATCACGGGGTTACTACAAACACAAGGAGGCCATCCTCATTATTTCACTAGTCTAACAAGTCACGACTTACAATCTGCAACATTTCCCTTGTCCTAATGCAACAGGAAGAGTTGGTCTGATCATCTGCTGGTACCAACTGCCTCAGAGAGCCATCCTGGAGAAATATTATCAACACAGAGCAAGGGAAATCCATGGCAAACGGCGGAAAACGCAATATCAAGAACATCATTAAAGAAATGACGGTTAACTTTTACAACGCATTAGAAATGTGGTCCTTTAGAACCTTTGTCATACAGCGCCCACTTTGAATTTATGGCAACATTCCTCTCGCGCCCCACCCCCAACATAACAAAATTTGATTAAAAGAGACTAGTTAGTTAGTTAGTTGCCTATCCTTTTCAGTGCATTGCAGAACCAACCCCAGCATTTTGTGGCTGTTGAGTTTTACTCTTGAGGTTTTCTAGGCAAATTTACGTCCAGTAGTTTGCCATTGCTTTCTAGAAGCTCGGCTTCTCGATACCGCTGTCGAAACCAACGTAAGGCGCAAGGACCTCAGCTGGGATCGAACCCGGCACCCCGGCTGTACGAAGCTCATTAGCAACGCATAAGTTACAGACGCCAGAAAAAAAAAGGACAACTTGCAAAATTCCAAGTACTGTTGTAGAAAAACAAGCACATAATTTGGAGAGTCAAATAACAAAACAAACAAACAAAATAGAAACAATTACCTGCGGTCGGTAATTCAGTATCCAAACATCAATGTAATGGTTGACACTGTTTTGATGTTTGAACAACAGATCAACATCATGGCGAACGGGTAGTAACCCATAAGTGCTCTGTTCGTCTTCTAACTCAAGTCTGAGTCCGAAGAAACTGGGCACAGTGCACAGGCTATGTAGCAAAGGCGAGGAACCTAAAAGTACTTTAGGTAGATTTTCAACTCCAAAGGCTTGCCCAGTAAACGCCGTTAGGCTACTCTTTTCGATTTCCATCTGCCAATGGATTTTTTTACGTGCACAACAATGCACACGGGCGTCTGATCTCACTACCCAGAGACCAGGAAGAATTACTAGAAGTCCAAGTCCATGTGGACAAAATCCCAGCCCTTACCGGGGATTGAACCCGGAATCTCTAGAACTTGAGGTGGACACCATGCCTCGAGACCACTCAGCCCTCTTTGTTTTGCTTGGATGATGTCTGTTATTTTTTGTCAAGTGTTGGACAATACACAATAGAGATCCTTCTCCAAATCAAGCTGCCAACAATACTGTTTAGTTTTCATGACTGTTGAAGCTGAAGTAAATTTGCAGTTTCAAAATCGCTGTGTCTCCCTTTGCAACTTCAATCTTCCAAAAGCCCAATCTCCCCCCGATAGGACCACTGCATTAAAGGGGTATACACAAAAAATCCTTGCATGTCCTGTCAACACTCCGATGAGGTAATGGAGGAAAAAGAGGAAGAAGGAGAAGGAGGAGGAGGAGGAGAAAAAAAAAGAGCAAAAGAAGAAGAAGAAAGAAGAAGAAGAAGAAGAAGAAGAAGAAGAAGAAGAAGAAGAAGAAGAAGAAGAAGAAGAAGAAGAAGAAGAAGAAGAAGAAGAAGAAGAAGAAGAAGAAGAAGAAGAAGAAGAAGAAGAAGAAGAAGAAGAAGAAGAAGAAGAAGAAGAAGAAGAAGAAGAAGAAGAAGAAGAAGAAGAAGAAGAAGAAGAAGAAGAAGAAGAAGAAGAAGAAGAAGAAGAAAGAAGAAGCAGAAGCAGAAGGAGAAGCAGAAGAAGAAGAAGAAGAAGAAGAAGAAGAAGAAGAAGAAGAAGAAGAAGAAGAAGAAGAAGAAGAAGAAGAAGAAGAAGAAGAAGAAGAAGAAGAAGAAGAAGAAAGAAGAAGAAGAAGAAGAAGAAGAAGAAGAAGAAGAAGAAGAAGAAGAAAAGAAGAAGAAGAAGAAGAAGAAGAAGAAGAAGAAGAAGAAGAAGAAGAAGAAAGAAGAAGAAGAAGAAAGAAGAAGAAGAAGAAGAAGAAGAAGAAGAAGAAGAAGAAGAAGAAGAAGAAGAAGAAGAAGAAGAAGAAGAAGAAGAAGAAGAAGAAGAAGAAGAAGAAGAAGAAAAAGAAGAAGAAGAAGAAAAAAAAAAAGAAGAAGAAGAAGAAGAAGAAGAAGAAGAAGAAGAAGAAGAAGAAGAAGAAGAAGAAGAAGAAGAAGAAGAAGAAGAAGAAGAAGAAGAAGAAAAAAAAAAAAAAAAAGAAGAAGAAGAAGAAGAAGAAGAAGAAGAAGAAGAAGAAGAAGAAGAAGAAGAAGAAGAAGAAGAAGAAGAAGAAGAAGAAGAAAAAGAAGAAGACGCAGAATCAGAAGAAGAGTGACACATGCCCTAACGTTTGCATTTATATTTATATCTAAAAGACGACCCTCCCTGAGACAGTTCTCAAGCCAAGCATCAATGAATCTACAGCCCCAAAGGTGAAGGTCTGGAAGCTGCTCACCAACAAGAATCTCATGATAATAACACTGGTTGTGTTCTTCAACTGGCAAGTGACGTGGACATAGATGTGTTGTGCATTTAATATTTATAAACTTTGTGTTGCTGGCATCCATGTTATTCTTGTCGAGGTTTTGCCTTCCTTGCAATCAGATACCCTGCACTTGATCCGTTCCTGTGTCAGTGAAAATCGCATGAAATGCCCCTCACTGACGCGTGTGCAAAACTAACGAACAAACAATTAACCCTGGTACAATCCCGAAATATGTGCACGGAGGACATGCATTAGGCAGTTGCTAGAGGCACCAAAGCCAACAGTTTTGTCGTTAATGGAAGTAGTCGGTCACCATATATTGGTCGTGCACACGCATAATTATTACACAAGGTATTTAGTCAGCACACACATAAACAGGCTACCTGCCGTACTAAATACAATGACAGAACCGGTGCACAAATAAAAGGCATTCACCATGAAAAACACAGCTCACCATGTTGTACCAAACACTTAACTCAGTAGCTTAGGCATAAAAACAAATATTCCGTCGATATGTGGAAACTGCATTAGCAAAGCGCTGTTGAAAGCAAAAAATAACTTTAAACATTCTGCCATTCCTATCCGCCATATTGGACCGAAAGTCGCACTCTGTCGTTATTCTTAATTTCGTAGTCAATGCATTAACGATTTTCCTGTTGATTATTAGGTGAGTTAAGATTAATATTATTAGTATTATAATCATTAGTCTTATTATTATTATTACGAGTGTTATATCGGCACATAAACAAGCCATACGCCCCTTGAGCCACCTCCCCACCCCCTAAAATATCTGTAAAGGGCCTTAGCTCCCATTTCCCCAAAGTTTTTTTTGATTTGAGTCAGTACCACTGGTTCCCAGGACTTTCCCATAAGCGCTCATTTCCCATCTTCGGCAGTCTGAATACACGTTTGTCTTGCTTCTCCTCTGAGTGTTGGAGTG